GCACATGTACATGCAAGGATTAAGATTTGCCCTGTTGGTTTCTGGACTTGCTTTGTTCCCATCCCTTTGTATTGTCCTATTTGTACCTTTTGGAATGGAAATGTCTATCTTGTTCTGGCTAACATTTGATGTGTTTAACCTTCTTCTCAGTGATACAACAGTTCACAGAAAAATGATAGCTTTAAGTCAGAATGCAGTTGGGACTTGGATGTTTCAGCAGTGATGAAAATGTAAAGTCATCAGTAACTCATAGAGATGGCATAAATGCCTTTACATAAAGGAGTGTGCACTTGGTCTTTGGGTGGTCAGGGACTGAATGTTATGGCTTGCATCTAGATGTTCCAACCAAATCCTCATGTCATCATGGAGGAGTGGGAATCTGTGCAGGTACCTTAATTTAGAGTTTGTGATTGCTTAAGGGTTGGGTGAATGCCAGAGTCATTCATTCCGCAGATTGAATTGGCACTGCCCTACACCCAAAACTCTGGAATATTTAAAATAGGAAGAACAATGCTGCTCTCTCTCTCTCTCTCTCTCTCTCTCTCTCTCTCTCTCTCTCTCTCTCTCTCTCTCTCCTTTCTCTCATCTCTTGTCTTTGCTCGCTTCTGCACACCCACACTGTTGCCCCTCTGCCATGTGTCACCCTGCCTTAGAGCTAGCCAATGATGGAATAAAAGCTCTACAATCTGCACCTTAATTACATGTTTACAACTTTGGCTGTCAGGTATTTTGTCTCAGCAGTGAGAGAAAAATGACTAAGACAGGATGTCATAGAATGTCACAGAAACTACACGGGCTGCAGCTTTTCAGATTGCCTGGCTTTCCTTACTTCATGATGGGACTTAGATTTCCCTCCACATCTCCTCAAGATGTGAAAGTTCATTTCCTTTTGCAATGAACAATGCTCCACTATGTGGATGTGTTTGCTGTCAGGCTTCCTTGACAGAAGGGCACATTGGCTGCTCCCACGTTGTGTCCCTTTAGGATGCACCTCATTTCAGGAAAGTATGTGGATACTTTCAGGAATCATCAAGGAGCTGGACTGCTGGGCCTTGGGGTGGGTGTTTGCTCACTTTTTCAGAACCCATCAATCTCTATCCAGTGGTGGCACACCCCTTAACATCCAAGAACTGACGAGTTCCCACTGCTGCACCCTTTCCCCAGGACCATCAGTGTCCGCATCTGGGTTCCAGCCACCCTGGCACAGGTGATGGCTCACATTACACATCCTGGTTGTGCACCTTCCATGTCCTGTTGACAGTGGGTGAGGACCCTGTTCTCTGGCATTCATCTCTGCCTGGAGGACTTATTTCCTGATGTGTTTATTCAGATTTGTGCCCATTGTTTTCTTAAGTTCATTTCCTTCTTGTATAGCTTCAAGGATTTTGTTTTGTGCACATTTCACCCTCTGTATCTTATTGCATACATCAGTTGACTCTGTTTTCTTTTGTTTGTTTGTTTTGGTTTTCTTTTTGTGGCCTGCTCAGTCCACCCTTGGGTTGGGGCTAATGCGACATGTGGTGCTAGGGATCAAACTGTGTTCCCTTCATTTTCCTAAGCTTGCTTGAGCAGGTGCTTTAGACTACTGAGCTACCTCTCTGGCCCCTTGACTCTGTGTTCTTGAATGAGGAATTTTCTCACTTCATTGAAGTCTGGCACATGGGCAGAGTTTTTGAGTCTCACTTAAGTATCCTCCTTGTGTCTTCTAGAAGATCTAGAGTTCTGCATGCTGGGTTCAGCCTGGGCCAGATCCTGAGATAGATGTTTGACAGGGGACAGATCTGTGTTTTGACTCCTTTTCTATGTGTTAGATTTCCAGTGGTCCTAGATCCCTCTATGGAGAGGCTGTCCCACTTGTGTTGTTGTTTTTTAATGTATTTGGGACAATATCTTAATACACAGGTCCCACTCATAGCGATCCTCTGGTTTTCAACATCCCTAGCACAGGGATTACAAGCATGTACCATCAGGCCTGGAATCTATGGCTGGTTCAGCATGCCCACAGGTGGGGCTGACATGGTTTGTAGTGCTGAGAATCAAACTCTGGTCCCAGAACTTTCCTAAGCAGGTGCTTAGTCTGATGAGCTATCTCAGCTGCCCTGCCTGTCCCACTCTTGGAATGGCCTTTGCTTCTCTGCAAAGACCTGTCCATCACATTGTGTAAGTCAGAGGGTTATTTCTTCCTTCCCCACGTGCCCACCTGTCACTTTTCTTCTGTTTCCTGCATTAGCTACAACATCCCATGTGATCTTGCACAACATGGCTGGAAGGGACATCCTGCCTTGTGCCTGTTCTTACTGTGAAGCTTCTGGAACATCTCCGGTGAGTGTGATGCACCTGTGGGTTCCTGTAGATTTCTTCACCTAGATCATCTTTCTCCAGGTTCCTGCCTATAATGTGCTACCACTTTTTGTCATGGAGGGTGTTGTACTTTCTTGGGTTTTCCTTCTCTGTCTATGGATATGATCATGGGAGTTTTCCTTCTCCTTTTGTTGATGTGGTGGTACACACTGATGTTCAAATCTTGAACTAGTCTTTCATACCTGTGCAAAACTACTGGGTTTTTGTGGATATATCATTGGTTTTGTTGGCCTTATTTCTTGTGCATGTGACAAACCTGTCATTCAGTGATTGCTGTTCATCAGATTTTTCTCATTCTCCGTAAATATCTACATACAATAGATATTGCCAGGCTGTAAAATCTTAACATGAAACTGTGTCCTGAGAGATAAGCCCATGAGTGTCAATAGTACTCATGTCAACAACATAGGCTGTGCAGCAATGAAGCACAGAAGTGGTCTGTGCTTCTCATCTCTGGGGTTTCCCACACTAAAGGACTGGAAATTGGGACACAGGTGACCACATACAAACATAGACCTGAAAGCACAAGTTTCCTTACCCTGGTGCCAGCATTGCTTGTGCTGCTACCAGACCACCAGCAGAGTGATGTCCACTGTTCATTCAGGATCTAGGGTGTTCAGGGTAGTGGAGGAGTATAGAGTTATCTTGATGTCACCAGCCATCTCAGCTCCTGAGCAGATGGCCAGCCTGGCCTGATGCTGTGGAAACAGAGGCAGATTTCTCTTCTCTACAGTGACATCCTAGATATCTCACATGCTGACACAACACATATCCAGTGCATGTGGAATCTGCTCCGCAGTGTAGGAACCTTGCTCAGGGTTTCAGCTGAGTCCTCAGAATTAGCCACTGAGCTTTCACACCAGGCTTCTTGGACTCTCGCCATGGTGCAGGGCTCCTGTGCTGCACTGCTGCTGATTTGTACCATTCCTTCCAGCACAGCCAAGACAAAAGTGACAGTTCCCTGGTGCTATCACACTCCACTAGGAGTGTAGGCCTGCTGAGCACCCATAAGGGCCCAGGGACCTCTCAAAGATGGCCTCCTTCACCCTAGTCACTCTCCCTGGATCACTGTGAGAATGACCATGGCATTGGAGAAGCTACCAGATCTCTCGCCACAGTCCTCCCTCTTCTTCCAGAAAACCCCCAGTGCTTCTCTGATGTGAAAAGTTTTCACAAACCCCAAATGCCCTCCCTGAGGCTTGGGATCAGCCATGAACACAGGGCTTAGGGACTAGAAATGGGTACAGTTCCCATTGATATCTGCCCTGCAGGTCACAAACACCCAGATTCCAAAACCAAAGGCTCTCTCTCTCTCTCTCTCTCTCTCTCTCTCTCTCTCTCTCTCTCATTTGTCATTAACAATTGGCCTATATCTGCAGGATCCTGAGTTCAGTTCCTGGTATGACAAAAAAAAAAAAAAAATGAAGGACCATTTTGTATGTCTATACACAAAATACTTAGGATAGATATACAGCTACTTTCTCCTAATTCAATGAGAAGAAAGATTTGTACTAATAGTGTTTGGACAGGATATCATGTCTGCCTCTTGTACTATGAGTAACCACTATGAAGACAGCAATATGCAATGTAGTAATTATTGAAATTATCTTATTTATTAGTTTTGGAACTGTCTCATTGCTATTTGTTCCTCAACAAAATTAATAAAAAATTGTCCTGTATTATGAAATGATATTTGGTGTGAAGATTAAATAGAAATTTTATTGACCTAATCATACCTGTCATTTTTACTGTCCTGTTGTGTTTACCAGAAGTTCAAAACCAAATATGGTCAATGTTCCAACTCTATGGGAGCACTGCCAGGTGTCATCTCCATGCTTAGCCTCCTGTGTCAGTCTCTGGCCTGGAGCACCAGCCTGGGAGTGGTTCTTGGGAGATCTGTTGATTGATTGATTGACTGACTGACTGACTGACTGACTGACTGACTGACTGACCCTAAGTCCTAAAGGAGAACCCCTGCTATTTTCCAAGTAAAGAGGAGTCACACTTGCTTGGAAGAGAAGCTTCACAGGAAAGAGCAGGATATGAGATTCTTAGAACATCTGGAAACACATTCCTCCTCCACGACTCAAGTCCATGATTGTGGAGACCCCAACCTCAGAACCCACCGGGAAGTCTATATTGCTCTGCCCCCTTTCTTGAAAAAATAAAGCTCTGAGAAAACAGAATCAGGGAGGATTGAGTTCTAGAGAATGAGACTCACCCTGGAATAGCACACAAAAGGGTCAGAACAGGTTGTTAGAAGGCCATCAGTGTCACACTGCACAGCAGAGGAGGAGGAGGAGGAAGAGGAGGAGGAGGCGGAAGAAGGAAGAAGAAGAAGAAGAAGAAGAAGAAGAAGAAGAAGAAGAAGAAGAAGAAGAAGAAGAAGAAGAAGAAGAAGAAGAAGAAGGATTAGGCCCCCAACCTGGAGGAGAGGGGGACAGAGAAGCAGCTGCCAGCACTGGCGAGTACAGGTCAGGGAGGGGCCAGAAGATAAAAGAAGGCTGGGCTGGGAGGCTGGGGCAGTGGAAGGGAGGGGCTGGAGACTTAAAGGATAAAGCAGGGCAACCAGGCCAGCACTGTGGGCTCTGCATCACTGCCCTCTGCATCCTAAAACTCTGGCTTTGTATCCTGCAGACATGGCCTCATCCCTGCTTGTCACTCTGCTGTTTCTGGCTGCAGTAGTTTTGGATCCGGCCCTGACCCACAAGGCCATTAAATTCTATCGTTGGTTTCCCAATCTTGTTGGCCTGCAAGATGTAGATGTTAGTGATGAAGGTGTGCAACAGGCTGTGGACTTTGCCATCCAGAAGTACAACGATAAGAGCAAGGACCTGTACCTGAGCCGTGTGGTACAGGTGGTGTGTGCCCGTGAGCAGGTATGTGGTCACCAGTGTTGATCAGGGCTGTGTAGGAGGTGTTGTCCACACAGACATCCTGCTGCTCCCTTTCTTCTGCTCTGTGCTTCTATGTCTTTACACAGGCTGTGCTGTCTGCCTGGTTGAGGGAGCCTCATTTAAATGGATGCCCCATTCCTCCACCCCAAGACCCACCCTTGGAGTTGCTCTGTCCTGCAGCCCATACTAAGTATGTCTAAAAATCACTGTAGGGGAAGCCTGGGCTGGGACCTAACAAGCACAGCCTGTGACATCTCTCATCAAACTCAATTCCAAGCCCAGTTGTCAGAGGCACCAGGTGCCAAGCAAGGGCTAGGAGCTTTCTGGAAACCCTGCCCACATCCTGCCCAGGACCTGAGAGAACTGTGAACCAAGTGAGCACAGAACTGGGACCAGGATCCTGCCCCTGTTCCCTCCTCTCCAACCTCCAGCTTATGTCCTTGAGCTCCCAACTCTTATATGAGCCCAGGTCTGCAGAGCAGTTGAAGCAGGAGCAGAGCACTTCCTGGATCCTGTGCCCATCCTTCATGTGGTCACCCTTGGTAACAAGGCTCTGCTCCTTGGTCCCCATAATATGTGAGGCTATGTATGGATTTGGGTGCACGATTTTGTTTCAGGGCTCCTCTGTAATTAGTCCTCAGGTCACAGCTCTACTAGAGAAACATCCCATGCATCTTGTTGGTCACAGAGCCTGTTGAAATGCATCATCACTGCTTCCTGGACAGGAAGTTTTGGCTCAGTGACCTGGCTGCTCCTCATGTGGGCCTCACTCTCAGGTCTGTGATCAGAGGATTCAACTTGAGTTCCTACCTGCCCAATCCCTGTTTTTGTCTTCCTTTAAGATTGGAGATTCCTCTTTATAGCTCATTGGGAAGGAACACATTGAATGCAGGGCAGGACCACTCTACCGAAAGACCTGGAGCAGTGTGTACAAGATGGGATTGGCCTGAGCCCTGGCAAGCACAGTGAGCCCAGTGCAGCCACGAAGTGTGTCAGTGAGTTGGACACAGTGCCAAGAGAGTCCTGTTCTTCCTCCTTAGGTGGTGGCTGGCATAAACTACTACTTGGACTTGGAGATTGTCAGAACCACATGTGCCAAGGACAAGTCCTCCCAGGATGTCTGTCCCTTCAGGGAGGACCCGGTGAGAGCTTGAAGTGGGCAGGGGCAAAGCAAGTAGTGGGGGATTGTGTGTGTGTGTACATTCGTGTGTGTGTGTGTGTGTGTGTGTGTGTGTGTGTGTGTGTGTTGTGGCCATTCCCTGGTATGTGGGGTAGCAGAACAGGGCTGTCTGTGCATACAGTTGTCTTCGATGCTGAGTGGAGCATTAATGTTTGGGCTGCTACGTAGTGACCTCTGCCTTTAGGGTGCTCCTGCTGTATGGGACACGCAGCAGCAGAGTTAGTGAGGAGAGGGGATTTTAGGAGTCCCAGACTCACCTCTTCAAGAGCCAGGCTGAGCAGATCTGTCCTGAGAGGGCTGAGACCCCACACTGTCCTCAGCCTCAGGGACTTCCAACAGTGAGGACTGTACCTGTGCACCTGTCCACACCACATAGATCAGCATCGCGAAGCCTCATACTCTCCTGAGTGTTTTTCAGTGCTGCCCTCGGCTGAACTGAAGTTCCTGTGGTGTGAAATGCCTGCCCTACCTGAATCTCATGGGCTGCTGACCCTCCAAGGCTCCTCCATGGGTCCTGAAGAATAATAAACTGGGACCAAAGAGTTGGAGAAAGCATCCTGCTAGGACTTCCCCCTCCCCACATGTCTTCATCTCTGAACTTTCTATCCTTCTATCCTGTAGCTGCACTCACCTTCCATCTTTCTTCCTTTGCAGATGCAGCTCTGCTCCTTTGTGGTCTATTCTCGACCTTGGGAACGATTCTTGTCCCTGCTAAGGTTCAGGTGCCATGGTATCTGAGGTCTGGTTTTGAACAATGACAGTCCCTACCTGTATTCCCTGAAATGTCCCCAAACTTGTGGTAAAGCCCAGCTCTCATGCAGTCTCCTCAGTGTGCTACATCCAGGATCAAGATCAGCAGGCTCCTGCAGTTAGTGTGAACATCTAGGATCTGTCCCCTCTTCCTTTCCTCTGTTCTTCTCAACATCATCTGTGTTAGGTACATGTGGCCGCACATGCTTGGCTCAATAAAATTCTGCCCCAACTTCCATCTGTGGTGTGGTCTCTAGGTGCAGCAAAAGGGTTGGGAAAGCATTCCCCAAAGCTGGATTCTGTCTAAGTGACGCTGGATCTGCCAGGTCAAAATCACACATGTCAGATGGGGCCAATTTATGGGCACTGAGGCCTCTAAGTCTGGCAACAATAAGGCTCCCTGTGGGGTTGGCTCTCCTGTCCATTCCCTCCAGCTGACTGCCAGGCCCTGGCTCTGCCTTGAGAACTGAACTTGAAGGTGACCTGGCCAACCAGCCATGGTGCCTTCTCCACTCCATCCTCAGTGACCACTTGAGCAAGACCCTGGCCAAGGTCTGGCAATAGGGTTATTGTGGCTCCTGCTGGGGTCTTATGTGGAGGACCACCTGAGCAGCTCTCCTTGAAAGAAGAGCGATTGTCTCCATTTTTTTAAATTCAATTTTATTTTATTTTATTTTGAAGAGTAGAGACAAGCAAAAACAGAAAAGAAGAAACAGGGTAACATACAATAATATGTATTATGGACTTTCAAAACAGGAATAGCTAATTAACAATGGTTGTTTTTTTTTCTTTTTTCCATAATTTTATTGATAAATAGCAATGAGATAGTTTCAAATCAAATTGGTAGGACAGTTTCAATAATTAACACATTGCATACATTCTTCCTAGTGGTTAATTGCTGTGCAAGATGCGGACATGATATCCCATTTACAAACACCATTAGAACAAATCATTCTATTCATTACGAGAATGTAACTATATATCTATCCCAACCAATTTGAATATGCAGATACAAAATGGACATACATCTGTATACCGTTTTTTTGTTAAGTTCTGTTATTTGAATATTATAGGTGTGTAAACTCAGCAAAATATTCTAAAAGAGTCCAGTAGCCCATAATAGTATTGGGTCTTCCGCTTGACTGGCAATGTCA